AGTGAAAGAATTGAAATGTTTAAAGATAACTTTCTTACTTTAATTAACAATACAGACTACATCCTTATATAATCGATCAAGAATATTCTAGAATGGAGCTAACAATTTTCTAACTAATTGTACAGCTGGCTAACAAGATTTGATTCCATTCCTAGAATCTAGGACATGCATTCTCACTGATTTTGTTGCTGGAGCTCGAGAGGTGGCTGCTGATGGATTCTAACTAACACTAGACAAGACTAAATAGTACAATAAACAAGATTTAACTTGGTTTTCTTTCTCAAAGTACTTTCCCATCCAACTTACAAAACAGGCCATCAATGTTTAAATATTGGTGAGAAACTCTAAAACGTGATTTAGAAATTACGCACCTATTTAATGCTGAGATGTTGGCTCCGGCGAGAATCAGATGTTTGACAGCCTAGAAAAGATGATATGTCAACTTGAAAAAACGAAAACTGTGAAAATTACTCTTAACGCTGCACGATAAAATGCATCGAAATGCTGTTATTACCTCGGTGTGACCATTGAGACAAGCCCAGTGAAGAGGCGTATTGTTCTCCACATTAGAAGCATTAACATTCTGTGTCAGAGAAACAGCTGTTCATATTCTTTTCTTAAAACAACAATCCACATAAACGGGGGAATCTCTCCCAGAATTTGCAGTTCTAAACTCTGTTCAAGTTACAATTTACGAAAAGCAATTTAAGGGGGTGCCAGCGGTGTGGCGGCGGCAGTGGCTATGGGATGGATTGGGGGGGGGGGGGGGGGGGGGAGATGATTAGGTTTTTGTTTCTTTTAATTACCCTTTTTTTAAGTTAGATCTACAGCATTAGATCAAATTAATTTAAGAGTTGGAATCATTTGTCAAATACCTTTGTGAAAAATACTGGTATATTGAATGTCCCCTATATATATACCCACACACTAGAGCATTAAACCAAGCAGAGTAAATAAAGAATTCGTGACTAGATGATATAGGGAGAAAAAGTTAACTAATCCATTAAAAGAGTATCCTTTAATAAACAACCAAAATTCAATTTAGTTCAAATATCAAGGCTCTCTCACCGCCCCATTGCGGAGAAGATAGTCTATAATGTCAAGATGTCCATTGGCTGCGGCCATATGCAATGCTGTAAAAATACAATCACAAGCATCTAAAAGTTAGCAGAAGGTATTTGGTACATCATTAATCATAAAACATTTTTATTCGACCAGCTAAAATTCAAAATTAAAATTTATATAAACAAGAATATTTCAGTCAACAGTTACAAATTTTAGCAATAACATTTTAATAAGAATATTGTGCCACTAGAGGTATTCAGAGTTGATGGGTGAAGGGAATCCACATCAGGGAGAAGCTAATAATTCATCTTTAGATAGACTGAAGCTATTATTGATTTAAATATTTTCAATTTACAGTCTAGCTAACATTTCAAAGCACAAAGAGAAGTTGGAAACTGTTGCATATCAAAATTATAACCTGTGCGTCCTTGTGAATCCTTAGAATCTAGAGACACCCCAGCAGATTCTATGGTTATGACATCATCAATATCATCATATCTAGCAGCCTGTTAAATAATATATTAGACACTAGTTAACAAATGAGCTTCCGAGCAATGAAATACTAATCAATTAATCACATGCATTAAAAAGCAAAGAAAGCGATGAGTTGGGTATCGATGGAAAAGTTGTACGAACAATCAGGTTCCTTTGAGATGATTGAACCATTCATGATTGAGTAAGTGGTAAAAACCAGTTGAGTTTATATGATTCGAGTAAGCAGACTAATCAAGACACCCAAAAGGGCAAAAACATCCAGAAAAGGTAAAAAGAATATCTTTACCCATTTACATAACATATAGATGGAAATTGATCATGTCCTAGATGACTCCAGTTAAAAAATTCTTTTAAGATTGCACTAATTCCAACAAAATGTTAGTACTTGGTTATGAATTTCCCATCCACGAGAAACTTCTGACGAGCATATGGAATTCACAGCCAATATCCTCAGCAGAAATATCTATTACTTAGAATTTTTGGCAATATCAGCCAGATCCTATATAGCAAATAAAATGGTATAACACTGAAAATACTATTAAGTAATAAGAAATTCCTCTAAAATCCCTATATTGAGTTTCACAAACATAAATTCACAACTATAATTTTCATCAGAATGAATTACCCAACTGTAATAGAGAGAAGGCGGTAATAACGGAAGCGAAACGCCATCAACTCCATTTTGCAATTAAAATATTTAACTGTGATCGATACCCAGGAAAATTGTTTGTTTTAAAAGTCAATTAACTCGTTCTCTAAATAGAAATAGCAAAGCACGAATGAAATCCTGAATGTTATTTTCCTCTACGACGAATTCCCAGATTCAAACTCTTACAGGTCAGAAAATTCAATTGCTTTAGCAAATAAACTGTTATTTCTTCTCACCGCTTTGTTAAACAAATAAACATATAACTAAAAAGCTAATAAGCAAATATTCACATGAAAAGAACGTCAAAAAAGTACTGGAATTAAGCTGGAGAGTTAGGGCACCTCAAGCAAAGCCTCAATGTTATCCAACATCGTCTCCTGGGGGTTCTGTTCTACTGAGTGCTCCTCCTCTCCCATTGTTGAGTGTGTGAATGCACGCGATGGACGTCTGCGTCTGCCGGCGTGTTTTGCGTACCGCCAAGGCTAGAGTGAAGCGGAAGTAAGGCACGGCCTCGGTAGAACTCAGTTTGGTCATGGACCAGGCTTGGGTTCTCGAATTGGCCCAAACAATTTCTCCTTCGGCCTTCTTTGGCAGAGCTCAAAGTATTGAATTAATGAAAGAGGAAATTACAAAAAATCGGTTTAAACTTTCAAATTCAAAATTCAGGTCCAAAGTTTATCTAATAAAAAATCAGGTATGAATTAAATATTTANTTTTTTGGTCACAATTAATAATTAATGGTCACATACAATCAAATCGTTTGTGACTACCACCAACGATCGTTTGTGACCACAAGTAGGTCACAAATCACACTCCGTACACACAACCACAGCCAACACCACCCAAACCCGGAACCACAGCCGCCACTACCACTCCACCGACGACAAAAACCACGATCTCACCACAAAATGGGCGATTTCGACAATCCAAAAAACCCCCAGCTACACCAACGCACACCAACACACTGAACAACACCAAAATCGCCGCCAGATCAGCTATAACCACCACAGCAACACTGCCGACGATGTGCCAGATCCGCCATAACCACCACATCAACCATTAAAATCACCATACCCATCCAACCAAAATCAAAATCGAAACTGAAAAAATAAAAAACGAAAAAATCAGCGACGCAGCAGCGCGATTCGCGTCGCAGTAGCGGGATTCGCAGCATCTGCTGCGAATCGCAGCAGCGTCGCAGCTGAAACGGACGGTGCGGCTGAGTTTGGGAGCAGGGGACGGACGGCGCGACAGAGGGCGGTGGATGCGACGGAATCACCGTTTGGGTGAGAAGAAGGAGAGACGGTGGAGAGTGTTTTGAATTAGATTTAGGGTTTGATTATTATAAAAAAAAAAAGATTTTAAATTATTAATTTAAACCTGATTTTTGCAAAATGAAACTTAAAGCAGGAATTATGAAAATGGATATCTAAAACCAGGCCTAGGTGTAATTTCCTCAATAAAAATTATATCAACCCATAAATTTTGAGATATCCGAATTAGAGTTTCGATTTTAGTGAAAATTACAACTCGATAGATTGATTTAATCAACCGAGATGTAGGCATATAGCCTAAATCTCTCACCATTCTTGTTAGGAGGCTACTTCATTCAAATGAGACGCACTCAGTTCAAACTAGATATGATGCTGCTGAGCTGACAGTCGCAGTATGAGAGTTCGATTCCTACCTTTTACAAGGTATGAAATTTGACTATTTGTGGGCACTAGTATGACAACTTCTGTACCCTGACTTGTTGAGACATATCCCGCGATTTACCTCATCTACGATGCTATAAGGGCGGGGCGGGGCCAGCTCCCAAACTCAAAATAAAGGTATGTTATAAAAAGTGAATTTTTAAAAAAAATACTACCTCCGTCCCATATATATAGGCTTGTTTGGTTTTTCACACGGATTAAGAAATCTCATTTAATGTCGTTGAAAAATTAATTTTTGCCAAGATTTTTCCAAATTTACCCTTATTCAATTTTCATATATATCAGTAGTTAATTTGATGAAAATCATAGGTAATCATAAATTTGAATTTTTTGAAGTAATTAAGACAATGAAAGAAGCCAGTTTACAGCACACCAGTAAGGACGAAAATCAAAAAATAATGGCTGCACATTATAAATAAATTTCAATTCAAATTTCCATCCCACCAATTTCACAATGAAAATGGCAATGTCCATGCCGCCAAATTCATGTAATCCGCCACTTCCATAATTAACACTCTGATTCCCATTCTGCCAAATTGAATGAAATCCGCCAATTTCAAAATGAAAATGCCAATTTCCATTCCGCCAATTTCATAATGAAAACGCCAATTCGTATTTGAAATTTCATGACTGCACATTATAAATACAGACACAAAGACAGATTTAAGCACAAATATAAATCTGAACTGATATATCGAAAACGTTTTCCATTCCAATGTCTACACCAATTGATAATCATTCCAATATTCCCCAGAATTTTCAGCTTGCTGTAAATCAGTTTCAGGAAGATGTTGAATCTGTTGGCTCTACTGACACGGTTGCTACAAATATGCTTCATCCAAACAAGAAAAAAAATTTATCCTGTGATGTGAGAAGAGCAGTATTTCAGATGCTCATCAATGAACAACGAGACGGAAAGTTAGCAAAATGAATAATTTCGAAAGTTGCCAACTCCTTTTCTATATCGTCTAGATCAGTCTCTAGAATTTGGCATGACGGAAAACATTTTAGTACTGGAAATGGTGATGTGCCGGATTTCTCTTCTAGGCTACTGAATCGAAAACATCGCAATAGAGTCGATATTCAGTTCGAACAAATGAAGGATATTCCTTTCCGTCGTCGAACAAATATAAGATCTTTATCGAAGGCTTTGGACATGTCGAAATCAACCGTTCATAGGAGACTCAAAGAAGGACAAATTCGACCACATTCAAATGCAGTGAAACCATATTTATCAGCCGAGAACAAGAAAACACGGTTGGAATTTTGCCTATCAATGGTGGACGAATGCACCCTCTCATCTACACCTACCTTCGTTAACATGCATAATCAAATTCATATTGATGAAAAGTGGTTTTATATGTCCAAGACATCGCAAAAATATTATCTCCATCCAAATGAAACGGAGCCCTTTCGCACATGTAAGAGTAAACGGTTTATTACAAAGATAATGTTTTTGGCTGCCGTTGCTCGTCCACGATTTGATGCTACTACAAACGAAGAATTCAATGGCAAAATTGGAATATGGCCGTTTGTGACAAAAGAACCTGCCAAGCGGAATAGTAAGAATCGTGTAGCCGGAGACTTTGGAGTCGAGGCCTATTGTGTCGGTAACTAAAGATGTGATCCGTTCATGTGTGATTGAAAAGTTGCTGCCTGCAATCAAACAGAAATGGCCATGTTCAAGTTCTAGGACCATCTTCATTCAACAAGACAATGCAAGGCCACATTTGGATGTTAATGACATCAATTTCGTAGAAGCAGCGAGGAAGGACGGTTTCGATATTCGTTTATGTTGTCAACCTCCAAACAGTCCCGATATGAATGTCTTAGACCTTGGTTTTTTTAGAGCCATTGACTCACTTCAACACCAACAAGCTCCAACTACAATTGAAGACTTCATTTCAGCAGTGGACAATGCTTTTCAGACATTTCCTACCGAAGAACTGAACAATGTGTTTCTGACTTTGCAATCTTGCATGATTGAGGTGATGAAAAATTCGGGGGGTAACAATTATAGGATTCCACATATGAACAAACGAAAATTGATAAGAGATGGGCAACTACCGAATTGCATTCAGCTAGAGCATGAAGTCTTACAAACGGCGGAGGCAGCACTGAATTATACCGAATAACTTCTGTCATGTTTCTGACTTTTATGTTATGTTTATTTTTTTTCTTTTCCTTTAGTTTTTCATTTCAATGTTTTGCCTGTATCCTAGAGTGTCTAAGATATGGAAACATTTTCAGAGCTCATTTGAGGCTTGGCTTTTGATTTTTGAATGATATCATTTGGTTGTGTTAGTTGTTTTGTATTGATCTTAAACTAACCTTAAATTAATCAGGTTTCACTTAGTGAACTGATCTTGAAGTGATTTTGAATAATCTTTAATTGTTTTTAAACTGATGTTAAATTGAACCAATCTGAAATTGATCTTAAAATTTTAACGTAAGTTGATCTTAAACTGGACTGAATTTACTGAACATCAGGTAATGTTGTCCACACCATACATCTACTGAACTGGCAATGAATAAAAAAGAAAAAAGGCCATGTCGTCCACACCATCTAAAAACTGAACTGGAAAAAAGAAAAGAAAAGCAGGCGTCCACACCATCTAAAAACTGAACTGGAAAAAAGTAAACTGAACTCATACTGAAATTAACTGAACTGAAACTGAATTGAAATTGAAATGTTGAAACATAAACTGAAATTGAAACTTAAACCACAAGATGCCTGAAATGTTGTTCATGAGCAAGCCTTCTCAGAAAGGATGGATATACTATTTCTTGATGTCAACAATCTTGTCCTCGTAGAATTTTGGTAGATAGATTTTGATCATCCGAGAAGCAACACGTTGATACTCCTGTCAAGCTGAAACGTAACCATCATCAGTTGGCGGAGCATCCAAATCAAGCACTGGCCTCACCGNAGTTCAAATTATTCTGTAACATTGATGTACAGGTATCTTCCATGGACCGTGGATGGTTTTCAGAGTTCATGCTTATTCTCTCGTCGAATTGTTTTACATTAACAGAAAGGAGTGAAATGAACGCTGAAGACAGAGACAATTTGAGAAGACAAGAGTTGGAAAGACAGCAATTAGTAGATGAAAAATTTGTTATCTCCATCCGTGTTTCCAAGTACTGGAATGTGTGAGGTTGGATGATTTCAAGATGGTAGCATATTAATTGGGAAATATTTAATAAGGGTACATTGGTAAAGTTAGTAGAAAAAAATTTATACATTAGGAAACCAGCCTATATATTTGGGACAAACGGAAAAGGAAACCCAGCCTATATATATGGGACGGAGGGAGTACGTTATTAAAATATAGGGAAAAATTATAAATTTATGGTGCCCCGGGTAGTTGGGTCACCTGTCCCTACACTAAATTTAAACTCAAGATTTTGCACAAAATTTTCAAAAAATTCCTTAATCGTTTTCAATTTTGCCCACACAATTAAAATTTTGTGAAATTTGTCCTTACAACTCTACAATTCTAGCTTTGCCCCTGTCTACATGCATGCATATTTTACATTTTAAGTTTCTATTTTGAGAGTCTAATTTAATATTGTAGAATATTTGATTTGTTATTCTGAAAAACTATTTTTCCAATTAGAAAACAAAAAAACAATCATGGTTTGAAATTTTACAAAATTATTTTATGACATTTTATTTAATAAATTTGATTGTTCAGTAA